CATTTACATAAATGTATTATTACGAACCCAAGAAGTGGAAATATCTTGTTTATTCAATCACTCAAAGAACTGATTAATATGTTTAATTTTTTATACAGGTGAGTGACGTAATTGTAGCACCTCCTGTAACTTTTGAACGGTTGAAGGTATTGCAATGCAGTTTTCAGGGAAGAGCGTGAAGGGCGTGAGGCTAATTGATACGTGTATTCATTTCTATTGTATCACTTGTATTTTACGAGATATTTGAGGTAACTTTGTTTTTTCAAATGAAACTACATATTTTTCAGTCTATCATGATGAGCGTAAAAAGACAAATTCAATGATATAGATATTGTTATATGTTAGATAAGGGTTTTTTGAGTAATTTTGATTTTTTGCGACTAGTGTTTAACGGATATTTTGAATGTAACAGTTTGCCACACAGTGAATATTTGAAATATGTTTCGTACCTTCAAATACGAAGATCCCTTCCCTTCCCCGAGCGCGCTATCTTGGGGAGCGCTACATGACTTTGTGTAGCGGACTGTTACATTCAAAATATCCGTTATACACTAGTCGCAAAAAATCAAAATTACTAAAAAAAATGCTTATCTAATATATAACAATATGTATATAATTGCATTCGTCTTTTTAAGCTCGTTATCACCAATGTTACAAAGTCTAAGACATGTAGGGGTGGGAGATTTTGGCCAATGAACATATGGTGTGAAATTTCATATTATCAAGTTACACAACCGACCTGGATGGCTGAGGTGGCTAAGAATGTGTACCGACTCAGCGCTTTGGTCCGAACGGTCAGGGTTCGAGTTCCGCCTTGAGCATGGTTGTTTGTCTCTGATGTATGTGTTGTCGCGGAGGACCTGCGTTCTGCTGATACGTGATCAGAGGTTGGTGTCTAGTGAATGATCGAATATGGGTCGTAAACGGTAACCGGCAGACGGCTAGAGAAAAGACCCTAGACAAAAAATGTACACACGTGACATTTACCCCCGACTGATACACAACTCGTGAAACATTGGCATGAACAGTCTCCTTGAGTGTCAGAACGTGACCTTCCAAACACCATTGCTTGCGGGATGGCCTACTAATCAGGGTCAAATGTCGTATGTATGACTTCATTTCTTCATATTTCCCGCCACACATTAATTTCCAGAAGTGATCAGGGTCATGTGAGACTTCGTATATTTCCCATCAGACATTAATTTGTAAATTTGATCATCTTCGACAGCCCTACATGCCCTAGGCTGGAAGACTGGGACATACACTCTGCCCGGTCTTATCCCGCCCGGCAATACCAGGTAACAAATACGCCGCCGAGCAACAATGTTGCACAGTGCCGGTTTTCAGTACCACAAATTGCGGGGTAAAATAATTTAAGGTAACATTTTGTGATCAGAGTAAAGCAGAGAATATTTTAAAATATTAATTCTCTACATATTAGTTGTAGGTATGTGATGAATTACAAACTTTATCATCTCCAACTTCCTACTAAACAAAACTCGACATTTACAATGTCGTAACTCCCTTTACTCGAACGCCATCGACATTTTTATTCATTAAGATAAGTAGAGTCAAAACTGTTAATAACGATATCTGTCTCTAGGACCTACCGGCATTAACAACTAAAATGTTAGGTGTCAGCCAAACCCGATATACTTAAATGAAACGTCGTTAATTACGACATAGCTTATATCGACACAACGCAAAAGAAAAATACTTTGAAGAAAAGTCGCTTATTATACGAACGAGATTAGAAAATGGAGAAGCTAGTCAAGACAATATGGTAGAATTGGATGTGTCGCATTTGTGTGGAACGTACGGTTCACGTAGAAGATATTGTGGAGTCGAAATATTGTTATTTTTTTTTTCATCTAGACCGGGAGAGGTGGCTCAGGGCATCAACTGATGTCACTGCAATGCCTCTGACTAGGAAACCCTAGGTTCAAGTCCCGAAGGTGCGCTGGCAGGATTTTCGACACTAGGTAGATAGCTGGGTCGAGTTCGGTTGCTGTCTGGAGGAGAATTCTAGCGGCCGGCTGTTCTAATCGGTATTTTTCCGTGTTTTCTTCGATCAACATCAGGCGAATGCCGGAGCAGTACCCTACCTAAAGGGCCACGGACCGCGCGCGATCTTTCCTTCCTCTTCCTTCTCCTTTCTTCCCACCTTACGTACACCCATTCTTACATGCACTTCACTACTACACATGTCGAGAGAGTAATCGGGAGCTTATGAGCTTGTCCCAGCTGAGGCGGTGCCCTGCTGGTGGGAGGTACCTGGTTGGAGAAAACCCGACCCTACGTAGGTCGGCACCGGATCTCCCCATCCAGCGGGGCCGCCATATCCCGACCAAAAACATACCCTAAACTTATGGGACAAATAACTTTAGCAGCTGGCGCGCCCGGAATCATTTATCAATCAATTCACCTAATAGGATTTTGGTCTCAATCTTTCTTATGTTCTAACATTCTTTTAACTTCTGAGTGGGGTGGATGCAATAAGTGGAAAAAATTGCATAACTAATTATAACAATAACTGATGATAAGGTCGAAATGCTTCGTCACTTCAGAGTTGTTATTATCTGTTTTGAGTATTATATTTACGATAAAGGAAGAGTAATACTCTTGATTTGGTGATCGTAGCGTATCCGGAAAGAACCTTAATTGTTTCTTCTTTTCTTCTTTGCGAAAAGACATTGCTTTTGTTCCTAGTGACTGTAATCTGTTAACGGGGATAATTCTAGAGCAAACGAATTTTTTATTGCTTCCTTGACTCTTGAGAGGTCTCGCGTTGTTTGCTTTGAAAGTGCAGAAATTCCTGTTTACCTTCTATCAAGAAATGTCCAATTAATGCTAGAAAATAGTTCTTGACCACCTACGTTGTTTTCCAGAACATTACTGGCTTAGCTTTCTATAATTAACTAGAGGAGAGTTGATTAAACATACGAAACAGCTAATTCCATCGAAGCTTGCAAAATAAAAGTGAAAATTATTAATGCGAAACAAGGGGAATGATATAAGAATCAGGAGTTTCAATGTTTGTTCGGTATCGATATTAGTCGACCTCTTCGGTAAAACTACAGTATTAACGAATTCCAATCTCCACATTTTTAAAATAAAAGACGTCATTAAGACGCTGGGCGTGTGTAGCAAATACATTGCGGACACATGTGGTACACCTCTGCTGAAAGGAGGAGTAGTCAGTCGGCACCGGAAGTCCTCCTCGGACTCGTGTAAGTTAGCCTCATCCCCTACTGGGAGCCTGCCGGGCGGATAACAATTGATATTGATACCCTTTAACAAAGCGCAGCTGCAGTGCGTGTCTTGGTGGAGCGAAGGGTACTTTAATTGCGCTCACGGAAGCGAGGAAACCTAGTTTCAGCGAAAACGGAAATTTTCGACTGCGAACCGATTGCTCTGAACTTCCTCAAATAACAGGAGCCGAATTACACGCTTCTTTTCGGCAAACGGTTTCAGAGTTATTGCGCGCATGCGCTGAACAGCTCTGCCGCACCAAAAGGCACTGTGAGCATGCGCGCGTTCGCTCTTGAAGTTGGAAATCTTTCGTCGGAAGGAAGCGTGTAAATCGTGTCCAAGAGTCTACATAATGTTTTGTTCGTATGTATATTAAATAAACACTGTGCAGAACACGCGGCGAGCTGTTTCGCTCTGTTGTTTCTGAGCTCGGTCATCACCGATGTATTCCAAGGGAATGCCTGGAATTGTCATGAATACCGGATGCGATCGGCTTTCCACATCCTGCCCCCTCTCTCATGTTGAACGTTGACGTTGACATGACGTTGAGATTAAAAAAAATCAAGTTGCGTTGCAGCCACTTATAAATTCAATTTTTGGTAATAAACTTAGAAAACGACAGCAGTCACGACGACAAATGCGACGGCGGGCAGCTGTTAGTGCAGTAATGGTGGCAAGCAATGTGCTTATTGGTCCTCGTCGTTGGACATGAACGAGCAAGATCTCAGGGCATCCTCTAGTTCGGGTAGATCTTCGCAATATTCCTTTTCCTCGCATTATTTACTAGGAAAGTAAACTATTTTTGTATGCACCAAGTTACCGATTCCCAGTCTGAATGTTATAAAAACAAATAAATCTCATTATTACGAGTGTAATATTTTATACTGAAAATTCCTTCACAAAAAAAATCTCTTGGGCGTACTTAAAAGAATGGAGATGACATGTTCCTTCCGCCTTATCATGTCATCACATATGTTTAAGAGTCGTAAATAGTATGGGAATAACGGCATCCAACCTAGGAATTCCAGAGCATAGCCTTCAGAGTGCCTCGTACGTTGCGAAGCAAGTAGTCTGGAGAGACCGAGTTCTACGACGAGACTGCACAGTAACGCACCAGTGAACCGCTGAGCAGCCATTTCCTTCACACAAAGATTACCCCGCCGAATTGCGACCACGGTCAGATCGCAAATCGCACGGTGAGTTGTAAGGCATTGTCTTGTCGTATTTCTTGAAATCAGGAAACTAGAAAATGAATTAGATAGTATTCTTTCGCCGTTTGAGAGAAAATGTTTAGAATCTATTAATGGCACATTTTTATTGCACCATATTGCTTTATAATACTAATATAAAATTATTTTCAACAATTCAAATTTATACAAATTTCAACCTACGAAGAAACAAAGGGAGGAAACAATTCAGGAAAACACTTATTTGAAATATGCACATACTTATCCCTGAATAGCACTAAGCACACGGTATTTTTTGTAAAATTGTCGTTGTCCAAAAAGCGTATCAGATCTAAAAAATTGTCATTTTGCAGGAGGACGGATTTATTCTGTGAGCGGTGCCGTTCATTTCACGGACAAAGTAAAAATATTGTTCTCATAACATAGGCTGATTTATTAACTATCTCTCTGTATGGATAGTTAATAAACTGGTGTACTTTGTACTGGTGAAAAAATACAAATTTCTAAACATATTTCTTCACTTAAAAAATGACAGTTTTGAAAAGTGTCACTTGTTTACAGACCATGCACCTAAGTCCAACTACCATCCTAAACCATGAGCTACTTAAGACCTGAAAACTGCAAATTCAGCTGCGGAAATGATTGGGCTTTTCTCAAGTGGTGGTTTATAGACCGGAAAGTACCGCTTCGATTCCAGACTGCGGCGGCATTACGACAAGAGTTCAATAGCTGAGAGGATATAAGAGAGATAGGGGTAGGCAACTATATACGTAGATGGAGTGAGGTAGACACAGAGAAGGGTAAGAGGAATTTCTAAAAGTATTCCATTATATCCTTAAGGAAACTGACTAGAAATTGTGATAGTCGATTTGTCTTGTCGAAAAGAATCGGGTAATGGATCATCTCTGTAGAAGTTGTAAGTCGCCCGAACTGCGTTTTAGTTGCTTAAATACACTTTTATGGATGTTTTTTAGAACATTCTGGATGGATCCGCAAATTTCCCTACCAGGAGAATGAGACGCGACGAACGACACTTTGTCTCGACTGGTGGCCCGAAAGTAGTCTGACAGTGAGTGACGGACAACTACTCTAGGTTTTAACTGCGAAGCGATTTTAAGGAGATCCCTAAGAGGCCACCTGGTAAACTTTTGTGCTATGAGCGATTGTTGTTACATTCCATGAAGGAGTCGAATTTAGTTCCTCGCATTCGTTGTACTCGTTTAGCCACCTGTATTCTTGGAATCCTGTAACGTATGTATTTCAAAAACTGCACGTATGTGTGAGCAGTCGGTGGGCTGTACACATATAATCCTTTGCCATAGGGGCTGGGCCTTTATCTCTTTATCAGGGTTGTCGTCCACTAAATATCGTATTTTTATTACATTATATATTACGTCCTTATTCATTTGTTTTTACAAAACAAATGACATGAAATTGTGACTTATGTTCTAAACAATAAATAATTATTTTTGGTTTATTTTATTTGGTTTAATGGTTGATGGATTTAGTTCAATTTGACTGTCTTTACAATTGAGTTGTAGCTTTTCCCCAATCAGCAACGTCGTTCATCCTTAACGCGCGTCGCGGTCAGGGATTCGTAATTCTTCTGTCTCCGCAGTTACATTGTTTCAAAGCTTGTGATTGCCCGGGTGCGCGCCGACTTCCAGTACAAAGGAGTAAGAGCGATTGCTGCTCATCGGAGAATCGGTTCTATCCGAAAAATCTTTTTTGGCAGGATATCTTTAAACCACAAGTATTAACATCCAAAAATAATCTAAGTTTCTGTCTCGTTCCAGTTGTTCAATCATATGATACAATCTTAGGGTCGCAGGATATTGTGTTTTAGAAAGGGAAAAGGAGACGCACACATGCAACCCGTAACACATATTTTACTTCAACACACGTTGCCATCGTGCATAATTCGGAAACGGTGGGTGCTTGGTCCTTGAAGTTAGATTTTCATGTTCTGTAAGGGATACAAGTTATGTTTCTTATTGTATAATCTAAAAAATGAGATCTTTTAAAACTTCCTATTATTTTTTTGGAAGATTAACCTATTTTTTTAACAGCTTTATTTTCTATGTGTTCAATCCGCTGATTTAACAGAGATTAGCGTGACTTAATACTGGAACTACAATAAGGTATAGGCAGGCGGGGAGTTCATTTAGTTAAAGCTCCCTCTCACTATGTTACGTTTCTCTTAATTACGTGTTTGGATTTTTTAAAATATATTTTAAATTTGTGGCATTTTATTGTCTAAGGTGATGTTCTATGTTTAATATTATTTTATATTCAATTTACATTCTTAATGAAGAGTTAACGACGGGCGTAAGTTATCCTTGGGGTACCTTAAAATAATTTTGATGTCTTCTGCTGAATGTTCTAAATTAAAGTTTTTAAAACATACCGCTTTTGGTAGTTCTTTAAAAAAAATACTGATAGTCTTTTGATGTAAGTATTCAAGTTTTCTATTTTCAATTTGTTTCTAATTTTTCCATTTGACACGTACACTGGTGCTTAAATTTTGCGTCTTATTCAGTGATTTCGGACGCATCAACTGCCAAGGTCAATAGTTCTGCAAGTGTACTTCTTGTTTTATCGTGGGGAAGTGGCGGTTATCTTTCCCTACTATATTGCGAGATCCGGCATCGACCTACACGTCGGCTATCGGAGTTACCCCTACCAGGTATTTATCACCAGTGGGGCACCGCCCCAGCCGGAACAAGCTCTAAGTTCCCGACCAGTCTTTCGGCATGTGTGGTAGTGAAGAGCATGTAAGTGTAAGAGTGTAAAGGGTGAATATAGGACAAGGAATGGAAAAGGTGAAAGGGGTATTCTGGCTTCTGGATTGGCCTTTGGTTTATTATCTAGAATCAACATCCGAATGTTGGAGTCTCGCGCTTAACGCAATGCACTGTGTTTGGTGTTGTGTTGCAGACCGCCTGGTTGTCCCGATCGTGCCCTGTGCCCTATTGTACGGGCTTTACACGCCATATCTCCGCCGCTTTTTGTGCGCTTTGGGGAAGCGCGGCCGCTGACGGGTCTGCTTAGCTACTGCGCGTCGCGTCGCCACGGCTCTGCCCAGCGCTCTTTGCGCGAGGACCGCCAGCGCCGACACGCACTCCCACTACTTGCATAGCAGCTGCGCCCTCCGCCGACGCCGCGCCCGCGGACCCCGCCCGCCGCGCCTTTCTGTCGCCGCCGCCGCCTCCCGCGCGCACGCCCACTAACGACGCCCGCGCATAGAGGACGTTAAGGCAGCCTTCACGCGGAGCCACTCGGCAGCGCGGCGCCCCTTCACATGCAGCCACTCTCCGAATTATACTCCGATTAAATGTGGTGTCTCTTCAAGGTCACAAGTTCAATCGGGAGCTTCAATACCTAACATTTAAGTCGGAACAAAACTTCCGATTGAATGACAGTGTGCCCCTCTCTTTCCAGCTCGTGTCCTTGAAGGGACACTACGTATAAATCGGAATATGATGATAGTGACTTCTGACGTTTGATCAACTGGGACGCGGTTATCCAATCGGGAGCTTCAAAACCAAAAATTAAGACGTTACAACGCTCATGATTGGATAACCGCGTTCAGCTGACCAAACGACAGAAGGCAATATATTTAAATCGGAGTATAAAGCCCCTAGATCAAGGGTTCCCACCGGTAGGAAATGACCGTAAAGGTCGATGATATTTTGAAAGGGGTCAGTGATGAACAAGGGTTGATGGTGAATAGCAGAATATGAACAGTCGACTGATCGGTATAATCAAGGTCCCATTGATTTCAAAAGAAATTTAATAAATTTGGTAATTAATTGTTTTCTGACATAAAGCAACAAAACATGTGATACTAAATTACATATTATTTTTTATCGTATCCAACGCTCATTCTAATCATGTTTAGAAAATTCAAGAAACTATAACTATGTATTCACAATGTTACTCTAACGCGCAAGAAAACATTATCCGTAAATCGAACAGTAGAAATATTTTGGCCCTACCGTAAAAACCGTACCACCGTAAACATAATTTTTTTTTAACTCTAAGTTTTGTAACCATGGCACAACAGAGAAGATTAGAAACTCGGCTACTCACAGACAGAAAACGCTCCGATTATTAAAATATGGAGATTTTTTACGAAAATATTGGTACACGAAATAATTATCTTAAGACTTTATTTGCAATTCTTTGTGTTTGATTCTTCATCAAAGAAAAAGATTGGGAATCCCTGACCTAGGTAGAGATAGTAGTGCATTTTTTTGCGCCATCGTTCCGTACATTTTGTCGTGTCAGCAGAGTTCTATTTTGTCCAGTGTCAGCGGTTTTGTGGGTTAGGTACATCCAAGCTATCCAAAATTAATAGTAATATCTTTAAAAATTTCCACAATGCCTTCAATATCATTTCTCTTCAACCCCTCAATGCTGCTTCTCAGTGCGACTATCGGGTGATAAGATGGCGGCGTTTGCGCAACTGTACTCCGATTGAAACATGGTGGCACTTACAAAGTCACGAGCTGGACGGAGGGGGGGACACTGTCATCCAATCGTTCCGACTTACATTTTTGGTATTTAAGTCTCCAGTTGATTGGCAATGTCTCCCTCTCCTTCCAATTAGTGATCTTGAAGTGTCACTTTGTTTAAATCGAAGTCTGTCTATGGACTACCTAGCCACCACCCAGCGCCACTGAGCGGGCGAATGGGTTAGATTCGTGTCACCGCTATGGGCACCGGGCGGGGCCTCCACGTGGCAGCCAACAGGTTCACAAATAAGCTGTGGTGCTTCCGAGCGGTTTAGTAGAGGCTGCAAATTAGAAGTGTGTTCTGCTGGCGGTAGTGCAAAAGTGCATCTCAGATGCTCTTGTGCGTCACTAATCGCCACAACAGTACCACTCTGCCAGTCGTGCGAGTACGTCCAATTAAACTGATACTTCGCTGCTAGAAGCGGTGCCGAGTGGCTCCGTGTGAAGGGGCCCTATCAGAGCTCTGCAGACAATTGCAAGCGGGAGGTATTCGTGAAAGACGATAAGAGGTATTTAAATGTCTACTGCCAAGTTTTAAAGAGAATGATCGGTTCTTTTCCCAATAACATTAAGAGACTTACTGTGTTAAGCCCAAATAACGTCAAGCGACGAGCCTGGCTTGCGCTTGTGGCGACAGGTTTACAACTGGCGCAAGCCAGGCTCGCGAGCTTCGCGTTCGTGTCCTCGTCTCATTTTCAAGGATGCGCTCGGCCCTTATCAAGCATAGGAAGTTAAGGGTTCTATGTCGACAATGACGACCGGGAGCATTTTATAAAACGGGATTAGAAGGATTCAAAAGTTTATTTTAAGATTTTAGAAAAAACCAACAATAGTCAAATCGAAATGTTCTGTGACCAATGGTTAGGACACTTAGTTAAGCAGTCCTACTCTGTCAAGTACCCCAGTCTACCTTGCGTCGGTGGTATATCTGTCGCCGCTGCCCCGTTGGAACAGGTTGTGGGATTAAAGATTTACAACCGGCACAAACCAGCTGCTTGCTCGCATATGCCTCCCGTAAAGCATGGTGCTCGGTCCTTCATTGTACCCACTTATAGTAGGCTAAGGGCCCACAAACAAAGACGACGGTGAAGAGGGAGAATTCCATAAAACGGAATTAGTGGGAATGAAATATTATTTCTAGTTCAGTTCTGTGCCCAGCCATTAGGAAACGTTATCGGTAAAGCAGCCCATTCACCGTCAATCGTCATTCGCGAGCCTGGCTCGCGCTTCTTGTAAATCTGTCGCCATAGCATTGTTCTCTTCATGGAGTAGGCAAAGGAATTTACGCTTTACATCTGGCGCAAGTCAGGTTCGCAAGCCCCGATTGCTCGTGTACAGCTACCTTGTTGCAAGTCGCTCATCTGTTAACGCTGTCCTAGCATAGTACAATAAACGCTCTGCGGACGAAGATGAGGAGGGACAGGAAGAATTTCGTAAAACTGGATTAGAAGAATTTAAATACTTAGTGCCTGATTTTAAAGAAAAAGTTCGCTTTTGTTCCCGATTTTTACGGAACTTAACTATGTGGTCCATATACTGTCAAGCTCGCCTGGCTTGCACTGGTGGTAAATCTGTCGCCGTCAAATTGTTCCCAATTTTTTCCCCTCCATTGAGAAAATACTGCGGAGGTGAATGATTTACAACTTTCGAAAGCTCTGCTCTCTTGAATACCTATTTTCCCCTTGCCCTTATTGATATTCGCATATATTAGGGGAAGGCGCATAGAGGAAGAGAAGAATATGATGACTCGGAATTGTAAGAACGGAGGGTGGACTCAAATGGTTTTGACGGAGAAAATGTAAATACTTGGCGGACAAAGGCGTGCCCATTGTTTCACACATTTCAAATTCATAGAGCTAGGATTTGCGAATAGAGCTAGAACATCGTACAGACTTTCCAAATTTTGCTCAGAAATCGTGTAAGAAATCCGAAAATTGTATTTTTATTTTCGAAAATTTACTGGGGAAAATTAAAATTGCCCAAAGGTATTAACAAATGCAGCGACCATTGGCTTTTCTGTGAATAGTGACATTAGACAAGACAATTAAAGAACTTTTATACCAATATGATGTAAAGATTCGTATGCATAGTCAGTCTAAAGCTGGATTTCACCGACCATGTATATAATATGAAAAGCTTCTCATGTACAGCCCAAGACGAGAAATATCTCGACCTACCCCATTAATGCATGTCATTAGTAATACCAACATAATTTCGAATACTAAATGAAAACAAGAAATAGAAGCACCAGGAATTGAAGCGTATGTTGCACCTATTGTAACTGCGTCTCCAGTGGATGAACAGTCAACTTCTCTCCACTCTCTAGTTTAAGTTTGCGATCTTCCTGATGACGATGCGAGGGTTCTTCATTATGAACTAAACTGAAAAGTAAATAAATTTTAGTCAGAGGGGAGTGTGAAAAAAATAGTAAGCACGTCGGGAACGAAGTGACTTTTTCGAGTTTGGAATTTAATCAACTCCGTAATCCACCCCGGACGCCAAACCACCTCGATCGAAAAAGTGCCCCAATTCACGGCTTTCATACATACACAACTATTTCGGCTACCGTTTCACCAAGATTATTGAAAAATTAATGTTTTGTAACTGCAGACCTTTTGGCGTGAAGAAAGATGAGACTTTGCTAATGAAATTTACTTTTTAAAAAATTCGGGCAAGTCAAAATTTGGAAACAAGAAAGTTAATTAAAACTTGCTGTTTTTCATAAAATTTCCAAAATACAAATTTAGTTTCCACAGTTTCATTAATGTTGCGGAAGTCAATATTTTGATCTCTTTTATGTTCGCAAAATCATATCCCCTTTAACATCGATTTAGAACACACTAGATGAGATTTCGAAAAATGCACCATAAAAATAAAATCATAGACTCCGCAAACTACACATCAAGCCGCTGTAATAAACCTATAATAAGTATGACATTTTCCTTCTTATTTTTGCAGTTTCTCTATTTCAAGACCTTCTGTAGCTTACGAGTAATTGCAAAAATTCACCAGGGCTTCACTGTCTCACAGTACAAAAAATTACTTTTCAGTAAAAGCCACATCAATATATTTTTATCTTTTGGTATTTTCATTCTATTGTTCTCTCTACTATAAAGTGAAGTATTCAAATCCTTTAACATCGTACCATGTATTTCTTGTAACACTGCTTGTTTTTTCTCATACTAACATTCCAAATTTTGCCGATCGATTCCATCGCTCACATACGACCCATTTGTCACGCAATCCGTCTGCGTAGCGGATCGGAGTTTCACTGAGCAAGCAATAACTGTACGTGATGCAAAGCTCATATTGGTTGCATTCAGCAACGTTGTCAAGCTGAATACGAATCTTCCCGTCCGGAGAAAATCCAAGCAAACAAAAACTATTCATTCAACTCTACAATTGTCCCAGGAAGTCCTCATGAACATCCTAGAGAAAATCATGAATTTCAGAGCTGTTCCAAATTGTTCTGCAACAATAAATGAATATTATATTGAACCTGTTTTAGGGAAATGTGGTCCGTCACTAGCTTTTTCGTGTGCACCAATTTATTGTTATAGGTTTTCAGAGGAATGACAAACGGGGGCCATTGAAAATATACGTTAACATTGAATATTCTTTAAAATTCCTCCTCCCACTTTGTAACAACTCGTACGCCTCAAAACCCTCCGTCCTTTTTGAGTTAACTCAAAAATACCTTCATTAAAATTTGAATGAATTTCATTTATTTTATAAATGAAAAACAAGATATATTTTTCCTTTAATTATCAATCTAATAACATTTACGTAGTTCGATATTATTAATACAATTACAAGTATTACAGTACTCCACGTTCAATAATTCGCGTTTTAACTTTTTTAAATTATAGTGAAAAATCGTTTTTAATTTATATCAATAAACATTAGTAATTTGAAAACAAAATCGTTTTCGTTCTCTCATAATTCATTCATTTTTCATCAACCATTTTCAAACCTTTTTTTCATTTTCGTCAGTTGTGAGAATCTTCCCCGATCTTAAAAAACAGTATATATTTTAATGACTCCCGATACAGAACTATTTATATAAAATAGTTTTGAGAACCTGATAAATCATTTGAAAAGAGGTACCACAAAATACATTACCCATCAACTTTTTAATCTTCATCAATTCTGGAGAGAATTCACAAGATACTTCTCGAGAATTGATACTTTTAAGAATACGTTGCAGCGCTCCCTACTTTTTAATAATCTCTTTTTACATGTCGATGTCCTCAAGAATCGGGTATTTCAAATTATTTGTTACATTTCCGACTTACAATATCGTTTCTTTTCTAAAAAAACCTTTCAACATCAATAGACATGGCCATCAGGTTCTTCCTCGTTTTCGTTCCATTACTTGTTCATCCTTGATCATAAAGCTCAACCTGTCATTAAGCAAGATAACCCCGTAAGGTTTAAAATATAACGACCAGTTGCAATGTTTCTATTCATTTATTCATCGCTGCAGCGAACAACAGGTTGCATGAGGAAGTGCACAGTTTGTCCAATCACCATGTTGGGCATAATGCGCCTCAGCGGAGGCTAAACGGTTCAAGGGCATTTCCCAAATTGAAGGGTCGGTAGGCATTCATATTAAGGTATTGAGACAATGGACTGAATTAAATAATACTGTACAACGTTTATACAGCTGATGGAAACTTTGCACGAAATATTGAGTATCATAATTTTTGCGAATTTGCTGGTTTTCCGTAAATACAGAGTAGGAAGCAAAATATGACAGAATTTGCAGGGCTGCAATTACCGTTGCAGTCTTTAACTGCTATGATATTAAATATTCGCAGAGCAAAATAAACAATTATTTATAGGATGTATTAGCTACCAATATCTTTGTCTTTAAAAATGAAAATATCGTTTATACACAGGGTGTCAGAATTTGTCGATAAAAGAATATAGATCCGCTCGTGGAGTACTAGTGCTAAACGCGGTCAATGCAATGATCAGCGTAGTAGACACAATTGAAAGGAAACCAGGCGTAACGATTTAAAGACCACTGATTCCATTCTGAAAACATTCGAAGCTTCGTGAAATAACTAACAAAAAACTGGAGACATTTCCAACGCTACAAACTTCGGAATTCAAGCCCTGCTTCTTAATTTGAGTATTTGGTTGGAATATTTTGGCACACACACAAAAAAAGCTTAACAGATTTTTCTGGGAAATGGTAAGCATTAACGAAATTTTCCTCTCTGCGTGCATATACTTCTTACTCTGAGGGAATATTTTCCGATTAAAAGCAGTGGCATCCAACTTAAGTACTTATTCAAACCAAATTCAAATTTTCATCGAAATATGAAATGTAATTGTACTACATTAGTAGTTTTTAGCTTCGAATACGTGATAAAGCTCATCTTAAAATATATGAACACCTTTCCGTCCGTTGAAAAGTACTAGCTAATTTGGAGCTTTTAATTTTTATTTCATATTTATGTTGTTTCTCTCTCATTGATTCATTTGAATTCGTATAATGGCAATTTTAAATCCCGCCTTTGGATTTAAATACGCCCAACGCAAAAATTGCCCCCAAACTGTCCTGTATGAAATAGCAACCAATCTATCTTGTGCCGTTACAGTCTTGAGATTAGTACCGTCACTTTTAATTTCCTACAATTATATGACTTGTGTTACATATAATGAAGTCCAAGCGAAGATAGACTGAGTTTTAACTCGAAATCTACCCATCGTTGATGCGGCGGAACAAACAGCTTAAATTCGCTAGTGCGGCACGGCGTTGCTACGCTGCCTGCGCCGGCACTGCAGCGAAGAGCTGAAGCCCCGATGCGGCAAGTCCCTGGCGACGGCGGAGAAGCTGCGGCACGGCGCTGGGCGGCGAAGCGATTACGTTACTTGCAATGGGCGGTGACAGCGCCGCAGGGGCAAGTCTACTAGCCAGAGAATAAGCAGGTGTACTTTCCGTCTGTCAGGAAGGTCAAGGCATCACAGGCCCGCGGGCAGTTGCAAGTACGCAGTACAATTTTATACCGGCAAGACGAGTCCGCGGATCGAAGGTCGAATTGTACTACTCTGCGTCCGTCCATTCTCATTGCAGGACATGCTGAGGCAAGCGATCGGAAAAAGAAACATGAATGGGTTTTATATCTCACGAGTGTACGGTACTGGATAGTTAAAGAAATTATTATTCATATTTTCGGTAACATTGTAATAGTGTGTATACCCAAATATCTTCATGACAAAATTTAAAAACCATTCAGGAGTATTCAGATTCCAAATAAATAGTTAAGACTTTATAAAAGGTGAAAGACTAATAATTAGCGTATTTCTTATGATGTTCCACAAGTTTGTTGATGGGTACCATTGTTCATAAATGTGTTTACTTTTCACTGAATTGCTATGGTATAAATGAATTAAACAATTTTGTCATCTGAAGAGGACTAATTCAATTTGGCAACATATTTTTGATTCTACGAGCCGACAAACATGGCAGAAATTTCTGGTGTGTCCTAAAATAGTTACAAATCTTTTGAATAAATATTTCAGTACTTTCATGCCATGAAAAAACTTGTGAAAAAGATTTTTTGCCAATGATATCCAAATCATACAGGAGATTAACTTACAGCTATTGTAATGATAATTTCTTTCAATTAAAGACATATCTTTCCATTCATCATCTCAAAAACTGTGTCATTTTTTGAATCACAACAATTGTGGATTGTCACATGAAAATAATTTACATCATAATTCAATCAAACAAGTACAAAAATATTTTAAGTAAGTCTGTGTATTTGAAAGTAGTGATGATGATGATAATAATAAATTAAAGTGATTTATCTCATGATTTGGGTGATCATGCTTTAACAGCAATAGCCCTCCATATTAAGTATATGTCAAAAATTTAGAGTAGAAATTAAATAATATTTACACACCAAATCAATGTCATAAAATAGTAATAAGAACTTTCATTTTATAAGACACCACCTATGGCATTGGTTTTTGAGAACTAAACAAATTGATTTCCTTTTCCTTTTTTAGTTTGTGTATGTTTGATTATGAAGCTTATAACAAAAGAAAGAATTCACCTTTGAAACTATAATTTTATGTCTGCTGCTGTTCATATAACTGTCAGTACAAAAGTCTTGGTTACTGCCTGAAATATGATCAGAACAGTAATTCAAGATACCTGCAAACAAAATGTGTTTTGTCTACAGTTTCAGATACAAAAATCAGTAAGTATTGCTTCCATAGTGTTGAATAAATACAACAGTATGAGAGGTGAAAAGCAGTATTTACTGCAACATCACTACAGCATCATATAATTTATCATCTTAAAAAGAGTTCTACTGAGATCAAAAATCTGACATTTGTTCACATAAAACAGTATCCAAATTCTCATAGAACTGTCATTCTATTTACAAATAAAACATCTATCAGAATGACAAATTACAGGAATAAATAAAACATTCTCTAGTTAATATCAACATAAACATAATATTATCTCTGAAATCTGGCAAAACCTAATACTACATTTAGTATATGAAACTTTCGCCAAATTAAATCATGAATAAAGTGGGTGTCAAAAGTATTAAGTTCCTCTCTAAAACAGGACTCAGTGAAAAGAGATCATTTAATAAATGACGTCTCAATATTACATTTAGGTACACATGCTGACTTAGAAATCTTATGGACCTGAGGAAGATACTACAGTCAAATTGGGAAATAAATTTATATTACTATAGAAAAATACTTTAAAACAATTTAGTGAATTATTTCTTAAATATTCCTATATGACCTGAAATTATTGTAACATAATGAAAAGAACAACTGTCTTTCATGTCTAACAAATGTGTCTTCATTTTACGCACAAATAGCACTATTTTTCCAAAGGGAACAAAATAATGAATAATTACTTATTTATCTTTGTGAACTTACACTTCAAAACAATATACATTTAAACACAATCAGAAAATCAAAACCACTAACAATAACAAATGATCAAGTTAAGGATATGTATAGAAAATCATGATTCATTATGTATAATAAATGTTACAAAATATGAAATATATGAATTGAAACTACATTGCTTTAACCTTCAGCTGCTTCATTTTTGGAGCCTTTTTCTTCATCTGCCGTTTTAATTCCCGATCTTCCCATTTGCGTTGCTTGTCAGGATCATCCTCCTGGAATTAAAGGGTTAAAATTCATAACTGGTGTCAAAGCAGATAAAACACCTTATTATGAAAAGCTTAGGACCAGTCCTCAGATAAATGCTCTCTGATGTAAGCATTCTGCTTGCCTGTTAATGTCTTGTTTTGTAAAATTGAAATCTAATCCATAAAAATAAAAATTAAGAGGCAGGAGTGAAACAAATCATAAAAGGTAGCACTTTCAGGATAATATTTCTTATTATTTGTTTGTATTTTCAACAACCATGATATTGAATACAATGCTAAATTGATCTGCAAATCCATTTAAAATATTCACGATTTCAAGAAGCATGTAGACTAAGCTAGCAAATACAGTAGACTGTTCTATAATTATGGATACTTGTTACGATGACAGAACTATTATTCTTAATCTGGTTTATGACAGCATACACATGCTGATCTCCCACAAAAATAATACAAACCACACTATTATTTCTCTCTTTTTCTTTCACCATATTAATTTAATTTGTCACATAAATATGTACTCCTCCTGCTACTAGCTCATTTTCATAGCTTGTAGAAAATTTTTATTTACCTTGCAAGTCAATGATATTGCCTGTACAGAATCTCAAATAGTAATAAATTAACAGATATGACAGGAAATATTTATCATAGCAATAAAAACATAGCCATTTCATTCGGTTGCAAAAGTAATGTTTCACCAAAAAGCATTCAGTCATGACACATTTTGTTAGCAGTCAGCTGAAAAATCATTACACTAATATTACATACTAATTATAACACATGAACACCACCATAAAAATAAATAGTACCCTATTGAACATAAAACCATTAATTTGCAAGAAGCAAGGCATGGCTAATATTTCCATTCATGACATCTATATAGAAATGTTGAATTGGCCATCTTAAAAATTTACACCAAAATTTCTTTATGTAACAATTCTTTGTCTTCTTTCATGTACTTTTTTAATTTATTTCTCTCTTTGCTGATGGTACCATTTCACTTTGATGATGCCTTGGCCTCTTCTTCCAAATCATATTTAAAGTTGAGAGATATTTGTCAACTAACCTCTCTCAGCATCCTCCATCCTTACTCCACCAAGTCTTGGTTCTAACTGTCCTCTTTATTACTTTAGAAAAAAATTCACTTCCTTTTCTTCCTGGAAACACCTTATGTACTGTTTTGATCAACACACCCGCTGACTGCTCCATGTTCTAGATGGCCAAATTCTTTACTTCCGTGTATACAAGGGCCTCACATTGTTCCATGTTCATTGTTTACTTCTATATGTCAATTTATCTGTTTTCTTGCTGATAGTGTTCATAATCAACTTTCTGATTGGCTGATCACAATTTGTTGAAGTTATCTTACTCTTTTTGTCTTTCATTTATGATTTATTTTCAATTAAATCTTTTCCCTATTGAATAAATAATGTTTAAAACTTTGACCCAATGTAAACTTAGTAATTCAACACGATTTAGTTACTTGACCAACCATGTTTACATATTATGACATGCCAAAAACCCCACATGGCATTTAAGACAGAAAAATATGCATCGAACGTATAATTACCATAGAATTGGATGTATACCAAACATTCTAGACCAAAGAATACACGCTGTCAAAATAACTAATCAACAACCATAAAATTCAATGCTTGATGGCTGAACACAATATTCTTGGGCGAAGCATGGTCCTGGGACAAAATTTTGAATAATTGACTAGATGGCATTGGAAATAGAGGTTCGATAATTATTTGGAATGGATTAGATTCTTTTCAACAACAGACAAGGACAGTACTAATATTACAAACTTAGGCTCGGTAACCATTTTTATGTTAGGGAACAGGAACTTATATTAATTGGGCAAATGTTATGTCATACGTAAATTAGAATTCAAGGGTATTCATATGTCATATATTGCAAATTTATAAGTTATAAGTAATATGAAAAAAGACTGCATATGTGAGAGATTATAGTAGATTACAACCATAGCTGGGCATTGTTAATTCATTTCTTTAAGTTAAACAAAAAGATAGTTGCGAGTTGGCGCTTCACCTGGAGTACATAAAGGGCATGTAGCATTTGCAAATGATATTTGTTCAATGAATTAAACATAATATTATTATTATTAAACAGTTAAAACATTCAGGAAAAATCAGGAACTTTATCTGCTGGAAGAATGTGCTGCAATCAAGAGGAGTGCAACGAGGACCTCATCCGGACGATATTCAGGAAGAAGGCATCCTAAAGATCATCATCAAAATTACCTCTGCAAGATTACAAACTTTTTCAGAAAGAAATACTGTACGGAACTGTTAATATATAGAGAAAGCAGGATTCAGAGAATTAATGAGCTCAAGTTTAAAGATTGTTATTTCATTAGAATAAATATTGTACTTTTATTGTCAAAACCAAGTATAAGGCTAATAATTTGTAGTGGTAGTGCCATCAATTTTCCAATAACTGGATTAACTTCCAGGAATCATAGCTCTGTAGAAAGTTGCATGTCCACATCACATGTAGAGTATATTAAAAAGGTAATGCATTTATATGTTGAACCCATATTTGCACAATCAATGCAATTTGTTCTCAGATATATTATTGAAGAATGACGAGCTAATGAACAGCGCAGGGCAAATTATCATTTTAAAGTAATCAATATAGTGATAAAAGTAAAAACAGTTGGGCAATAAATGATAAAATTAGAAGATTAATAAAAACGAATAGAAAGTTAATATATCCCAATAATAAATAATTAAGTAGAAAGTGGGTAATATATCAATATTATGGTCACTTTCTGTATTAATGATATGGATTACCTAAATATATTATTTTTTCTGTTAAACATGTTCTCCACAATTTATTTCTTTTGATTTTGTACAGCATCTCTCCCTCTATTCATCTGATTTTAGGTATTTTTTATCCAGTACAAAGATTTGCCTTTTGCTTACCATCAGAATCCTTTCTTTCTCCTGACGCTTCTTTTCCTCTCTTCGCGCAGCGGCAGCCTCTGCCCTAGCAGCATGGGTTGTCTTCAAGAAAGCTTCTTCAACACGCAGTCTATTTTTTTCAGCCTTATTCTTTGCCTGAAAAGAAATTACAAAACAATTGCTGTTGTATTTATACTTCATGTTCATCACTTTACAACCTAACTCCTCTGTTCTCCAGATATAATGCAAAGTGCAAAAGAAGTTGATCAATATGCAAAAACAGAACATGAATTCAAATTTGAACACAGAGAGTATGTTAAATTAATCATAATTGAACACTGCAAGGTCAAACCAGAATTAACCATTTTTAACTGTACCTCTTTGCTCAGTCGAAATCGTTTCACCTTCTCCATACAATAAAAAACAAGCTGTAATAAAGGACGCATTTGTTCCATTGCTTCATTCACAGGACGTCCTTTCACTGGTATATTAAAGCCAAACAACAGAACTTTCTTAGTTTCTGGAAGCTTAGTAAGAGTGGTGTCTCTGCAAATTAGAGAAATAATTGAAGAATCATCAAATCACCACTTTCACAAATATTTTTGGAAACATTAAGAACAACTTACTCAGGTTGTTTTGGGCCCGAAAACTGGTCAGAAAAGTGAATGTAATCAACCAAGTCAGCATACTTGTTGATCATTGTCGCAACACGTGAATCCAAAAGTGCTGATGCTACTTCACCCATTTCAACCATCAAATTAAAATTAGAAGGCAGTCCATATTTGTCTACACTTCTCCTCTCTGGACAATACACACTCTTAAATAAAGAAGAAAAATATTACCCTCCATGTTTTAAATGTCTTAAAAATTATATTTAGAGAATTCCTGAAGGCAAACAAACAATACATAACATGCTCTTTATATTACCAGATCAGCCATATCTCTTGACAGTCTCAGAGCTGTTTTTTTGGTGGCCACACACAATACAAAACTATCCATATCTTCTTTGTTCATATCAATTTTAATATGTACTTGATCATGAGAAGGCCTCATAAGTTGGGCTATTACTGCCACCAGATCTTGCCTCTGAAAAATAAAAACAAAATCGATTTGAAACAAATGTCTGTGAGAAAATGTTCTTAACCATTTAAAAAATTATGACAAAACCATTTTTCAGGAAAAAACAGACCAGGAAAACCTTATTAGGATGTTTTCTTTGAAAAACGCAATAGCAATTACCACCACTGATATCACCAAAATTCTCAAATGCTGAGAGTTTCAAATAGTTTTATTATTAAGTGTGTTAAGTGTTTAATTATAAAGTGTGTTACTTACTGTTATAAAATTAAGACAATGTATTTTAACTAAAACTCATTGATAAAAAAATGAAGAAATATCAGTCAACTGAAATAAAAAAAATCCTTATGAAAAATTTACTTAATTCATATTTTTTCTCCCCAATTTATTTTCTGCAAAGAAGATATTAGATTAAAACACATTAAATTAAAATCATTTGAATAATATTAAAAGAATAGCGTTATAACTTTCATCTTATACCCAATTCCCAAACTTGTTTTAATTTGTTATTATTGAAAAAACTATTTTTGCATTTTTCACACTCTGATATTCTCTGTGATATATAGTAGTTTGGAATCTTTTATGTTCCCTAACCCACCTAACGTCCTGTTTACAAAGAAGGGAGTTGATACCCGATTCTATAAAATTAGCATATAAATAAAAGGGAATGTAGGTATGTCTATCACATACAGATGCAAAACCTATTACATTAATTTCTCAGAAATTTTCACACTTTGTTGCTATTAGTATTGGACGTTGCTGATGATTCGTATTTATAATGAATAGTTCAGTCTACAGAGGTGCTATCCACCGTGCTATCCACCAACATCCAATATTATCCAGTGTGTGTGAAACTTCATATTCTGCTCCTACGGTTGTGAAATACTGGCCAGAATTTTACCAGATATTACTTGAACGTTAAAATATATTTAATGTATTACTTAAAAATCAAATTCCTCCAAAAGAGTGTCATAACGAAGAGAAGAAGAAAGAAAAGAAAAAAAAAGAAGAAAAAAATATTGAGGGAGAACATTTTAACGATAGGATATTTGAGAACAATGACCAAACCTGGACATAGAACAAAATCATACTTGTGGGTGTTCAGTAGCATCTGGAGTGTAAAACACTGGAATAGCGAAGCATTGCGAAGTCCACTCATTATTAATAAACCAGAGAAACATAAATAATACTTTCACATCTAAGCCCAAAATGGTGACATAGTTTTCATGATATTAAATGAAATATAAAAAACTCACTTTCAAGAATTTGAGTTCCACTAACATGCCTTCACAGCATGTACGACCACTACACCAAAGTGTGTACATGTTCTCCGAATCCTTCATAAGACCAGGGTTTTCATTTTCCATTTTACCATCATCACCTGCAGTATTTAAAATAATTCATTACATTTTAGTGCAAGTACATAAATCAAGAGTAACACAATTACAGAACTTACCAACTAGACTGAAATTTTCTTCTAGCAAAGATCTATGAGTATTAAACCAAGCAGTTGCCAGTTTATTGTTTTTGCTTTTTCCAGTAAAAAAATTGATAGAATATACTACAAGGCCAGCTATCATTAACATTTCGAGGTAAAAACTGTCCCAATTTGTCCGGAAATGAAGTGGTACCTATAAAGCATAGACAAAATTAAATTCTGAAATAAAAAATATCCTACAACTCACTGAAAAAATCACTTACTTTGGTAATGGTAATTTTTGGAGATTCTCTATCATCCATTCTTCCACTGCCTCTAACATGATCTGTATCAAAACCTTCAAATTCCTCTTCATCTTGAAGATGTTCATTATCATCATCCTAAAACAAGAAACATTTAAAAAAAATATTTTATAATAGGTACTCTCAATTAAAATGTATTATGCAAATAAAGAACTATCCAATGAGATACATAATATCAACGAAAGTATTAATAAAGAAAACTGGGAAAAATCACAAACATTAGGATACTTTTTGTTAAATTCATACATTGAAGTCAATGTTAATGGTAGATACAGTAAAGTGGACATGCATTCAATGAAGTAAATACCTATGAGCAGTTTCCAAAAAAGTCACAGGTTTAAAAATATTATTATGTAAGATTTTGTCTATAAATTTCTACAACCTTTTCTTGGGAAGTAAAAAGTAAAGTATCTCAATGAGAAGTAAAAAAAAAGACACCATTTATTTCTTGGCATTTATCATTGATTTTTTGGAAACAAACCTATTTAATAGATTTTGGGGACTTCGAAATATTATAAAAGAAATCTATCTGCAATGCTGCTGATAATAAGTGAAGGGAATTAGTAATGTCAGTTGGCATTGTTTTTACAAAGTGACTAGTCTGATTCTGGATACCACAAATCATGTCTAAAATTATGACACGCCATCAAAAGCTTCCCATATTTCAAACAAACAAAATTTAAAAAATAAAGACAGAGGCACATTTCATTCCAGTTTTAATGCAAACATCATCTCACAAGCAAATCAATAAAGGAAATAATTGTCAATATGAATTTAAAACACATTCTGGTAGCTTGGTGCAGGCCGAGATTTGGAAGTACTTTAATAATAGGACAAATATTCACCTCAACAATTGCATCTTCAACATCATCGTCTTCATTTCCTTCATCATCTTGGTCTATTATACGTCCACGAGATCCTCCGGGGGTGTCTTGTGTATCCCGAATGGGTTGTTCCTCCTCGTCTTCCTCGAAATCTTCGAATTCCGCGAACTCATTGTCTTCAATATCTTCTCGGCAGGTAACAGGATTAAGCAACAATAGCGTGCCCAGAAGCACAAATATGAGAAGTATTTTCTTCATGTTGACCTACATTTAAATACCGGGAAACAGATTCGTCACTATTTTAAGATAGAAGTTCACAGGTGTATACTAGAACAAGGTACAAATCAATGGTCGAATTGGAAAAATGTTTTACAGCTGTCGATGCATATAATTAAATTTTGCCTTTTCATTCTGCTCTAGCCCACACCAGCACATCTACGGCTTTAAATCGATACTTTAAAAACTACTCACAGAAAGTTCACTGCCCTTTACAACTCACCTGATTCACATGTGACCATACACTCTTTTCGTACACACTTAAGTCATTCACACAAGAATTCGATGCTTAAAACAAATACTTAAAATAACTTCCCACTTGTCCACATTACGCTATTCTTTCATTCCTTCCTTCCGTCCCAAATGTGTACATCTCCATGTTAAACTCTTTGGTCAGCTTACTACACTTCACTACGTGCTTTGAAATTTCACGTGACACCCGGGAGCTTGAATGGTAGTGACGTGCAAGGTGAGTATCATAAAAGTAGTGGGAATCACAGCCATTTGAGAACAGATCTTGTTCTATGGTACTAATCACTAAAACGGTATAAAAGTATTGTCGAAAGATACCTGTTCCAATGAAATGTTTTGATCCAAACCATGGTGAGAACCACACTTGACCCTATTCATTTGTGTTTTTTGGGATTGTTTTTGATTTTTGTCAATTTTTTTCTTCAATTTTCTCACTGACTGAGCATACAGAACAACTTCTATGGATACTACCCTGCAAGTTCTCACAGAATTAATGCTTCTTGATTTATAACTTCAAAATTTTTCTATTAGAATAGAATTTCAAAAAAATATACAAGTCTATATCAATAATAAGGAAATTCTTGGAAATACGTTTCAAGAAAAGTGGTAAGACGGATAGAATTCTAGTTTAAACGAGTGACATAGATATTATTTTCTTTATGTTGACTTTGATAAAAATAGAATGCTTTCTTCTGTTAAGAAATACAATTTTTATACGACAAGGCATAAAACTTTAATTTAACAATAATATATAAATAATAAATAAACAAAATTTTCAAGATTATTGTAAAAAAATCTCATCATGAAAATTTTTATAAATTATATCTTCAATCTTATTGAATATTGTTTCATTTATTCTTGTATTTCATTCATTCCTTTTATTCAGAGTCCATTATTTAGTTATTCAGTTCACTCATAATTATACATCTACTTGTTTGATCTATTTTATTGTTAAGGAAAGTTATCATACAGAAATTATTATAATCTATTTAATTTCTCTAATTGTTAAGAAATGTTTAGTAAATAATGTAATATATAAATTGAAAGTCCTGAGAAATGCTCCTACATAGGTGCAGGATAATTTGTAATTGCTAAAATGAAATAAAATTATAAAATTGCGTCATGGATTCAAAAAGAACTATTACAAAATTTCAAATTCTCTTCTTCTTAATAATATTTATGTTTCATTAAGTATTTGTAAAAACTAGAAATCAATTTGTGACAAATGAAGCATTAGGCTTACTAGGTCAATCAATTACATAAACACAAGCTATAATCTTGACCTTGTTTATTAATTTCTTGTAAGGATTTTTCTTGAGTTGAGGTCAAATGTAACAAATGGTTCAAATAAAAAAAAAAAATATCAACTTTCTTAAAGCATTCATCATTTTGAAGCCATCTCAACAATTCCCATCTCACATCCACTTAGTACTTGTATAATCCATAACATTCACATACTGCTCAAGCATCAACACATTGATGTCCACCCTCATGAAGGCTCTGCATCACACATCTGACATTAGCCACATCACCCTACAAAATATACTATTTGTTCAAAAAAAATTTTTGTGTCTGGAAATGGAACAGGAAAATTATAAGATTTATTCAATTTTCATTATCTCAACTTTTGGAAGTTTTAAACCTTTCAAGGAATGACAAATGTAGAATAAATGATGTTAGTGTACATAAATGATAAAATGAGAAGCATATTAAAATACACTTATTTAATAATGTGTTTTTTATAGTCACTTAAGAAACTGCAAAAGCAAAATAAATGTTGAAAGTACGAAAGTAAGTTGTAAATCATGTAATATTTTGGAATCAATTGTATCTAGGATTGTTCAACACCAAGTGGATCTGTTATGTTCAATGCTCATCTTTAGTCCGAGACAGATTGATTTTCTGTCTATGCTATTGTGTTTTTTTTTTCTCCTCCTCCCATTCACCTCGTTTATTTGATTCATGAAATGCATAAACATCCAAATCTTTCACCAACACAAATGGCCCAGGGCATCAACTGATGCCACTGCAGTGTCTCTATCTGGGAGATCCTTGGGTTTGATGCAACACACATCAATCTTAGCTAGATGGCTAGAATTCAGCCTGTCTGAATTATTCTAGCAGTCAGCTGCAGTAATTGGTAGTTTTCCATGGTTTCTCTGATCAACACCATGAGAATGACGAGGAAAATACCTAAGAAACAGGCCACAGATCGTGTGCGATTTTTCTTCCCTTTTCCTTGACCTATCCTCATCACCCACTTACACACACTACACTATGACACATGCCAGGAGACCAGTCAGGAACTGTAAAGCTTGTCCCGGATCGGGTGGTGCCCTGCTGGTGGAATGTACCTGGTTGGGGAAAACCCACAAGCCAACAGAAGATGGGTGCTGGATCTTGCAAACCACTTAGGGAAGATGACTGTCACTTCATTTATTTACATCAAAAACAGTTAAAAACTGTGTGTGACTTGCTATGGGGAGAAGTTAATTTGAAGTTACAATTATGTCCAGAAGTACCTCCCATGATAAAAACATGTACTACACTTACCAGGCTAATGACCTTTGCAGTTGACATGCCCGAAATCACTAATCAATCAACCCAAAACTCTCTAAAATATATGGTATTAGCCAACATTCAATGAAACCAGATCTCAGAAGTTATAATATTTTTTTTACTTGACAACTTAAAAACTTCTTTTGTAAGTTAACTACAGTTTGAAAAAGAGTTAAAATACATCTATAGCAGAACAAATTTTATTGTAATTCATAAGCTTATTATTGGGCCAGTATCCTATAACCACAAATGAGAAAATAGGTGATAAGAAAATTTGAAATTGATTACTTCATCATATTAATTACATTATTAATGTATGAGGTATGCATATCTTAAGTATTGAAATGCAAAAATGCAAGTTAAACATATATTTTGTTTTTAACAAAGAAAAGAAATACAGTCCTAGTATATATGAACCATTTTCTTTACAATTATTTATCTCAATCATCTGGCAGTTAATTTGGTGAAGTTTCTTTTTTGATTATAATAAAATAGAAAAAGTTATTCGATTAATTTAACATGAGGCTTGCTTCATATTACATTTTTTGGGGGTCAGTTGTTGCTATGAGTTTCCTGACAATATGCATCAAAATGTTATCAATGTTATCTGTTCAATCAAACATTCATCAGTTTCTGAAACACAATCTGATTTGTATCAGCACAATTTTTTATCTGGTAATAATATATGTCATTTACTAATTAAATATGCTTTCTAAAAATGAACTATAAGTATTATAATATTATGATTTTACTACTTTTTGTTTGTTTGTTTGTTTGCACTTGGCGCGTCAGCCCATGTATGAGCCATGGCCTACCAACGGCATCCCAGCCTTCGATTAAGGGGGGTACAAATGGTTGGCATTAAGACATCCCCAAGCCGTATTCAGATCTCAACCTGGGAAATGAATTTTCTCATCGTCACACAGCAATATATTCTGGGGTATTGCAAGGAAAACGCACATTATAATCTTGTCCGGCCGGGAATCGAACCCGGGGTCACGTCTTGGAAAGCGAGCACGCTGACAAATGACCTAAGCCTCCTGGCTCTTATAATTACATAGCACAAATACAATTATAATGACATAAATACAACCATTCATAAAAGATACTTTTGGATTTTATTCAGATCACAGTTAATACAAGGAGGTCAAAACATGTACAAGTCTTATTTGCGTAATGCATTTTCATCACATAACAGGTATTTAGAATATGGTGCTCCAACATACTGGCCAGAAAGTGTGTTATAGAAGTTTACATATGTAGATGCTGTTTTATACACTTGACCACTATTACTTGAATAAACCTATTGGAACTACTAATAATTCAATTTTGTGGAAAATAGTATCCTAACGTATGTTCTGAGACAGAATTGATTCAAGAAGCATTAAAAGATGTGTATTTCATACTTTTCATATAGTTACATATTGATTAACACAACATATTTTTTTCTAGCACTATACACATTATACATCAGACTTTTTATATGCAAGTTGCATGACAACTTATTCAACCATATAATATTATTCTAAAATATACAACAACAAAAAAATACATGAAATAAACAGTTCATTTCTGCTTAACTCTTTGATGTTGCAATTAAAATATGGTAACATTTTAATCATCAAAAATATTTTTGTCCCAGTTACACAAATACATCGGCAACAAAATTATTCATCCTCATGATCATAAAAAGCGGAAGACTACTACATATATACAATTATTGAGGTGAGTTGAAAGATTAAAATTACCAGTAAAAATATTTCTTGTAAAGTTTTATATTCTCCCAGAAAATAATGGATGTATTGTTATAAAAGCTTACAATAAAGAGGAAGTGCATATCCTGCAAATACATCAATGTCCCAAGAAAAAGTATATAACATTGTGTGGTCAAACAATAAGGTATTACCACAAATGAAAGAGTGTCTTTCCTTCATAATATTGTTTCTAAATTTACTTTCCTTTCTCAAAAAAATTCGATACTGAATAGAATAAAATTTATATTGAATATGTACAATAAATTATAGAACAGCAGGATTTTAAGTATTGCTAAAAATACTTTTAATACTGTTAATGACCACCGATGTAAATGACATTTATATGTTCAAAAACTTCAATGCCTTCTTGTTGCTTCAAGGGCACGCAGAATGTACAAAAATAAATTAATTATGTCTAGATACAAGTTTATAGTGGCTAGGATATATTCTTCTGGTGATAGTTTCTCCATTAACATCTAAAAACAGAAAGAAATTAATACTTACTAGTTCTGATAATTGTTGGACTAATTAAAGTGACAGGAAATTAGGATCAGTACAAAATTAGGACACATACCTGGGTATCATAAACAATGAAAAGCGAAAATAGGAATGCTCCTCCAATGGAGATCACCAATTCCAAAATTGAACTGCCAATTATAAGTTGCAGAAAACCTCCGATTATAAGGACACACAATCCAGCAAACAATCTGTGGTAAAAATAAATCAATTAAAGTTGTTTTAATGTGCAGAATTGACTAGAGAAGTGAAAAATTAATAGTATTTGGATAAAGTATAAACAGTAATTGAGTAGAAAAATGCCAAACATTTGTACTTTGTTTGCTAAGAAAACCGGCTATAATTTATAAGTACCTTATAATACTATAGCACTTTTTTTATCACATAATCATGGCAATAATTCCTTAAGCAGCAGTTTGATTTTCATTAAAAAATGGGATGTGATCTAAGTTAATTCGTAACAAAATAAGTCAAGAAAGCCAATAAGTATAGCAAAGGAAAACTAATGAACTGCCTGCATTGTATAATTCCAGGGGCTATTCTTTTGGCTTTAAGTTAGAGGTTTGTTAATACCCATAAGAAAGATGGTGTAATGTTAAAATTTTAACCATGAGATGACTGTAATGTTTGTAAATTGTTAGGTTGAAACTATAGTAATTCTCAAATTGTCCTATTTATGTAATAAAATTTGAATATATCTGAAATATAAACACTTAAAAAATTATAAACAACTCATCCTAAATCTACTACATGACATATGCCTTGCAACTGTATGATTAAGAAAAAACTTAATCACAGCAGTTCCCTGCAGTTGTAAACTTTTATAATCACCATTTTTTTGTAAGACTAAAAACTGTTAGAAGAAATTAGGGAGTTTTTGCACAGCACAGCATTACAGCAAATGACAGTACTATCAATCTTCTCCGCACACTAAGTTTGAGTTTTGCATCACTTCTGTGCATTGTGTATGCACTGTAGATCGAGATTGCTGTAGTTTACTATGCTGTATGCTATGCCATGCAAAATCTCCCTAATATTTACAAATCATCATTACAAGAAAATTAAAAATTTTACCATCCCCGGAAAAGCTGTGAACATTTTAGCAACAGAAACCAAAAATTATTTATAATTACTGTTATTGAAAAGTCAAAAAGTTATTGCCTCGCTTCATCCCTGGAGAATCAATGTTTACCTCCTTCCCAAATTTGACATACAATTTTTTGTTGCTTTTCATGGATAACTACAGACGGAAACAATAATGTTATGAACAAGAGCTCTAAGTTAGCTAAAACTTCTATGCCATTCTGCAGCAGTGATCCTAAAACTTCTGAAGTTGCAGACCCTCTTTAACCACAAGTCAAAGCTCCAGAGACTAATCCCGATAATACCCAAGAAAGACCACGACAAGATGGGTCAAAACATCAGCAACACAGCCTTCGACGTGGCCTCACCTGGACAGCCAAGATTATTTACAAAGCAATCGCTTATCGGTGAAAAGTATAGCATATTGAAATAAATTTCAGAGGGAATTTTCATTTCTAGATATTTCAGAAAATGTTTAGGAAAATAATATAGAATCCTGTAATTTTAAAAGGAATGAAAGGAATTCATGATTCTCTGCAACTCTCCATTTTCAATAATGCAGATCCATTTCATAGATGTTCTTTAAAATCATCTTGTGTGTTCATGCCCATCATTTTGTTTTAACATCTAGCAATACATTACAGTCAGTTTTCTCCTCAAATTCTTCCAAATTATGCCACTTTTCTTCTTGTGGTTTGTCTCAATATAAACATTCATTCTTCTCCTTTGTTAGAAGCTTGCAAGAGAGGTCATATTCCTCCCATTTTAAAATATATTTTAGTTTGTGTTTTCTTAATTAGTTTATAATAACATTAATAATTGATTTTTGTTTTTTGAAAAGTTAATTTTTCAGAACATTATTAGTATTGAGTTGTTATCTTCTTGATCATCATTTTTTCAATTTTGGACAGTATATTAAGGAATTGCTTTTCATTGAAATAACTATTAACATTCAGTTTCTCAAATTTTTAAGCTACTGACATTAATTATTTATTTATTTTATTTTTTTCTCCAATTTTTAAACCTAAGTCACTGACTGACTCTTATAAGACAGTTATGATGAATGTGATTCTACCACTGTTGGGTACATAATGTTCTGTCAACATAAATTGACAATATATATGCAAATAGATGCAAATGAAATAATTAAATGCAAATAGTAACTAATTTCCCCAAATCAGGGTGGCCACTCTTTCTGGAATGAATAATATCTCTAATTTTTCTTATTTTTACAAGGCATTTTTTATTTCGCTCTGACAACTCTAGTAGAGTACTTCACGTATTTAAAGAAAATATTACATAAAAAAGAATGCTGGATTCATGAGGTATCTGGGGGCCATACCTCTATTGTTCTCCCGAGAGTTGAAGAACAAAACAACTGTTCGTTTCTCTTGTCCATCTTATGAGTAAATTTCATTGTGAGTTTTTGCATTATTGTGCTTGTTTACACCTACCAGACCAAACTCCTCCTCTAACTCTTTTTAGGTATAGGTATGAACTGTTGTTACCCAAATCACTTTGTTTAAGAGAAGTTTAGAAGGGATTTTCAAACTGGTGGTCAGTAAAACAAATTTGACCCTGGTTTTCAGGGTATAGCACAGACATCCCATCATGTCTGAGTTAGGTATATAAACTCAGAGGCCCAGTTATCCTGTGGCATCAAAAACCTCATCTTAATGCCAATGATCTTAAAGTGAAATATTTGCATGCTTATAACACTTTTATTAACTTATTTTTAAACAATGCTATGAAAAGAACTGAAATGCATAACATTAGGAGCTGACCAGGGATTGCACACATGGAAGGTTCTTGTGCAAGCAGTTGAAGATGTTAAAAATGGCAAGTAGTTTTTTAGTAATCCTAGGAGTACCCTCTGCCACCACATGAATGGGACATGAAGTATGGGAATTAATGGCTTGGGAGGAGAAGGAAAACTTCAACATCCCCTTTTAATTGAGGACCTACTGGCAAATTGTCTTTGAATCATAGAAAAGTAAGAGTTTGACCTCGCAAGGGAGGAGACTATGGATGTGCTACAATGTTGTGCGAAAGTAAAAGATCTAAAAACCAATATCAAGGATGGAAGACCTTGGCAGGAATAGTTCATAAGCATAACCTTTCCCTAAGGAATCATCAGGGAGTGAAGTATTATTTTTATTATTTTTTCCAATCACGAGGAGACAGAATGGTTCCAGATACCCTGCAGAAATTACTGAAGCATTATATGGAAATTCTGGGGAGTGGTTCCAGTTACTCCATGGAATGGGATAGCTGGGTGATCACAACACTAGAATATATAAAACAAAAAATTTATATAATTTATATTGAAAAACTGAATTACAGACAACTTTTGTCACCAGTTGATAATGGCAAATAATACTTTCAATTTTTTGTGCTGCTAGAAAATGGAACACAAATCAATATAATCAAAGTTGCAAAAGTATGGCCAGCTACTCAAAACATTGTTTACTCAAGTTTTTAAAGGAATCCATATTTGTTTTAAAATTTTTCTCAAAAATGTACCTGGCATTACATATCCTTATACAAATTCCCTTAATTTTTCCGGTTTTCCAGAAATTTGCCACCCTGTAGATGTTTAGTTTTCCTCAAAATTTTTAAAGTAATTTGTAAGTGAAGAAAAGAACTTTAGGGTAACACACAGTAGTTCATTAGAATTTGGTAAATACAATGTTTATTTTTCATTTTTTTAAGACCTAATTCCTATTCGTATAACTAATACAAAAACATTTCTAAATCTAAATACACAATGACTTTATAACGATCATACCACGCATACTTATGTATCATACCACCACTGTCATACTTACGCAAAATGAAGGTTTGTAAAATCTCTTTGGGTCTGGAATGTGAAGATTGTGAGACCAACGACAACAGCGAAAGTTAGTACAAATGCCTGCAGTACAGCCACTTGATCATAAAATGTCAATACTACACCGACAGTGTAGGCTTGCACAACAGTCTGAAATTATACAATGGAAAGTCAAATTTGTCTACAACAGAAAAATAATACAATAAAGATTACATGATTTACTTACAAATGCTGACAGAAGAATTAAATTAGCAGGGCTGTCACGTTTCTTCACATACAAGGCAATCAAAATAACAATGCTCATCAGAAAAGCACAACTCAAGAGCCAATCACTGTAATCAAAGATTTGAACATTCAATAAAATATTAGGTATTAAGTGTAATACATAAACTTTAGAACGCAAAGCTTACTTGGTATGAATAAATTCTCGAACTGTTGGCTGAAACATACACACGAGTCCTACAGAAACTGTCATGAACATTTGCATTGTGAGCAAGCCATATACTTTTCGCAAAAATCCTGAAACAGTCACAAAACATACAGATGAAATTCCACAAAATAGTTTAATAAAAGTATTTGAGTAATGATTGCTCAAAGAACTGTACTATAAAAAAAAATTGATTAGTGTAAATTGAGAACTTACCCATACGGATTTTAAGGCTAGCATTGGATACATTGTTATTGTATGCAAAATCATTTGTAATTGATTCCTTTCCTCCACCTTCTATATCTTCTTCAACAAACATTAAAGGTATTGTGGCCATTTTATTTTCTTCTATTTACAAGGAAAAGGTGGCAACCTCAATCCTGTGAACAGGAAGCCGTTTGCAATATTTTCTCTTTCACTGATCGTTGTTAAAAATCACATCTACACTATAGTACAAAGTAAACAAACACATTCGTTACGTGGAATTTCAGGGTAAACATTTTCTTTTTAAGCTCAATGCGTTATCAGTTCGAGTTATTTGAACACTTACTTCACTTGTCAGCACGCAACACAGCGTACAATTTATTTCATGTACATCAAATTTCTTACATATTCAATTCAAATAATTCGAAAAAACTTACAATGAGAGAAAGTTTGCGAATCAGCCGAGTTGACAGTTTCTGGAAAGGGGGTCTCAGGTCTCAGCTATGAATTTCACATGTCACACGTCATATGTGACAAATGAAAGCGGATTTAATATACGTATGGAGACGCTCTTGATCCGTGCTGCACTCTTGTAGCTAATTTTAGAATCTTTTAAGTCTCTGTCGAACAGTATGGTTCGCAGTGGTTTCCAACTGAACATTCACTACGGACTACTGATAAATAACTTTTTCTCCCTAACTGCGGAAAGTGAATAACACGGTTCGAGTCTGAAATTTTTGGTGAAAAGGATGTTCGCATTATCTTCTGGCAGATATTTTCAAATCAGAAGAAAATCTTATGCTGAAAATGACCCAGATATAATATTTTATAGCATTTTAGTATCATAATTTGCCCGCAAAACTTTCAAAATACCATCTTGTAAAATTTTCTCATAGTCGGATAGAAACTTGTTATTCTAAGGCTGATATAGGTTATTTTAAGGCTGTTATTCTAATGCAATTAACTCAACATAGACGATCTCGAATTTTCGATTGTAAAATCCGTCTTAAGGTTTCTTTGAAAACACATATCAGGATTAAGATTTTGCAGTGCCGTTCCTATTCCAAAGATAATTGAGATTAGTGCAAGAATGAGGAGATGCACTTAAACATCCTCCAAATCAGGAAATGTTTATGTGTGTTTGTATATATGGAAGTATGTGTCGCGCAGCTCGAAAAGATTAGAAGCTTTTGAACTCAGGAGTTAGACATAGTTTTTCTATTTTGGGGATCATTAAGATATTCTAATTTTCGGGATCCCAGTAAGTCCTGTGACGTTTTTTAAATTTTCCGCAAAACAGCTGGGTTTTTTCTTTACATTTTTTGTTTGAATAAAGGAAAGTGCATTTACAGTTATAGCATGATACCGTTTTAAATAAATTTCTGAAATTGCAAAAGTGCAAAAAAAATGTTATGAACATGTCCTACATATCCAATATTAAGCCAGAGATGTCTTTAACAATATAATTTATTCCTCAATTTTAGATATTTAAATGAATTTTCGACACGAAAACTCTTTTCGTATCCACTTTTCGGTATCTGGGACTCTTGAAAAACTTGTTTCATGGGTCCCTCATACCGAAAAAGTAGGTAGTCCTTGTTCCTATATGCAGTAAATCACTTCCTCTAAAACATTGTATACTTAGAATCCATGTTTTGTGGGAACTTGACGCTACGGTTAATCGTTTATCCGTCTGGCCACAGCAATAGCGGGTAAGAACTGTAGGCTATATTTTCACTAAATTGATATTCCCCGATAGATCTGGATCATGTGGTGGCCAATTAAATTTCCAACGCATATTTATCATTTACATAAAGCTTCAAAATATTCTAAAAAAGGGGTCCAAAATATTTCCTTTAATTTTTTTCTCACATACAGCAAAATACGCTTATAAAACTGGCTTAGGTCGGATTTTCATTGAATTCTCTGAATTTTCCAAAATGGCAAAAGGTTAAAAAGGTTTAATACCTATCCACCAACAACATTTTTAGATCTTTAAATAAGGTCAGTTAAACATTTTTTTCAAATCACGAATCTTTGCGTAATTTTAAATGAAATATAAGCAATTTTAAAAATACACCTTTAATATTGAAGTTCGAGAATTCATATGCAATACAATATTTTCCTCAATAGTATCTGTAAATCATTTCACATATTAGTTATGAATATTGGTAATAGATTTTGAGAAAATTTTCTTAGATGTGAAACGGAATTAAGAACAATGAAGCTAGATGTTTCTTTCTTAATGCAGTGTATTTGTCAGTATTAGATCTTTTAATTATTTCACAAACTTCTAAAAAAAAAAAAAAAAAAAAAGAAAAATAGGAGTAATTTGAGAGATTTTTGAATTTTCTGAAATGTAAAGCAAACTATTTATACCACTATTTTTTACTTCTCTGGTAGATTTGTTGTCGCAGCTTGGTGGCCAAGGACGTCAAATCAATATTGTGCATGTTTTTTTCGTGGATCATGTTCGTCCTTTAACACTTATAATTTGTTGACAATACTTGTAAGAAAAAAAATCTTGTAGAACCCCCAGTATAGTGCCAATAATTTTTGGCACTACTCTCTTTGCAGAATGTAGTAATATAATTTTACCAATACATTTTTTTTTAAAAATATGAATAGTTTTAGCGTAATTTTGAATGAAGGGTAACTTAAATCACATTGGTGAATAAGATTTTCTGAAACGGCTTCAAATAGTTTCTTTAAATTATACACTTTTAATATTGAAGCTTACGATTTTTTATAATATAAAGATAATTAAATCTGGTTCTGAATATTTAAATCGTATCATACACTTTGTTTTCATAATATTAGCAGTTTCGCGTAATTTTAAATTGTATAATTGTATGATATCAATTTTTTTCGAACCTGTACTACACCTTCAATACTGAAGCTAGATATTTTATTCTTACTGAAATATACAGTATTTATAAATATTTTACATCTTTAAATTTCATATCCATTTTTTTAAAAATGTGAAGTAATGGCGAATTTTGAGAGAAATTGCTTTAAATGTGAAAACGAATTAACCTTTTAGCATTATAAGATACAAGCTTTATTACTGTATGATATGAAAAATAAAATAACATGTCATTCGTGTTAAAACGAGATATTTTGAAGAATATTAACTTATATAAGACAATGTTTGTTTGATCGTGCTTAATGAGCACCCCTACCGTTCATCTGATTGCAATAAAACTTTGTCAAATTATTGCTTGCACTTCCGGGAAGAATATAGGCGTAGTATAATGGGAATGTGCATATGCCTGCGCACAAAGATGCGCGTTAATGATGATTTTATATAGACTCAAGGACCCTAATCAGGACGCTTTACACCACGGCGCTCTCTATGCTCGCCGACTCATTGAAGGACGGCTATTAAGACCTTTTCATCGCGTATTCTGCCCCTGCGATTGTAAAATGTATCTCGGGAGTGACGGATACAGAGAGAGACAGAGGAAGACAGATCCAAAGAGAGAAACATACAGAGAAAGAGAGAGTCACACAGATAGAGACAGAAGAACACAGAGAGAGGCGGGGAAAGAGACGGAAAGACACGGAGAGAGAGACGGAAAGACACGGAGAGAGAGACGGAACCACACTCGCGAGAAAGTTTTTCGTCTATTGAAATTTTTGCAGAGCATAGCGTAAAACGTGATTAACAATCACGTGACCAGTACCATGTAAAGTGTAATTTTCAAAATTTTCGCAATTGTCGAAAAATCGGGGATCACAACGAAAATGAGACCAGCACCATTCTCTTAAACGTGCTTTACACTATTCAACAACGAAATTTAATTTAAACAAATTGGAGCCATCTTTTTGGAAATTTTGATAATTTTAAGGGGCTTTATGTGTATAGTATCTCCAAAATTAAAATATCGGTTTCAAATTCCTGGGACAGCGACACCAGCCAGAGCTTTTGAGGAATATCAGTTTTGGAGAAAATCACCTGAACGGTTTATGCGCTAGTGTTGTGCACAGACAGACACATTTAGCCGTCAATCAATTTTTTGGTATGAAGGACGCACTAAATATAGATTCTGGCTACACCACATGTTAGAGGATTTTTTTCTCTATTTAGCAACTGGATTTATCAATTTTTTCGTTACAAGAGTCCGGCAACAAGAGTTTTTGTGTCGAAAATTCGCCGTTTTCTGGCGCATGATTACAATACTTTCTCTTCTTACGTTGGTAAGTGCGAGAAAGTAAAAACTTGAACGCCCTCAGGAAATCAAAGCCAGAACCAAGTGAGCGGGAGGTGAATATACTTGTCACGAACAGTACGCATAAAATTATGTAATATTTCATCATAGACTTTCCGTAAACTTAGTTTTAACTACTTTGTTGCAAAGGTAGAAATAAGCCTGTCTCTTGTAAATTTGAGATTGAAGGAAAGGAGTCCCAAGATGATTTATAGACAGACACAACTCTTCCAAATTTATTTTTATTCGCATCTCCTATGTTACAATTACTCCGTTGGCGCCAACATTTCGGGGACTATTTTGCCCATCTCTCAGACAAACGAAGTCAGGAAGCTCATATCATATTATATCGACCAAAATACATCCAGTACAAGCTGGTGGACGACCAACCATCACGGTCAGAATAAAGTGGTATGCTTAGGGTTTGGAAGGTATGAAACCTGATACATTCCACAGACCGCCTGGGAAGTAATTCCAAAGACCCATCGGCAAGTAATTTATTTCAACTTTAGTAATTTTATTCATTTCATAAACTATTCTGAGCTGTGGTAACTAAAAAGGAAGTATATTAACATGAAATCACTGTATTTATGTGGCTAATATTCAATAAAATTATAGTGAAACTTTCTAGTCGATGAAATGTTTTTTTAATGAATTATTCTTTTATTGAGATTCGGAACACTGCGAATTTGGTTGAAGGCTTATTGTAAACGTATAGGTCGGGATCCTTGATATTAAGAGACTGCGCGCAGACCGTTTAGCTTCGATTGATATAGAGGTAGGTACCCAAACACGGAATTAATTTTTTTCGAGTATTTTTGAATCCAATTTTCCGCACAATTAAATCGAAATATTTGCAATGCTTACCTTCCTTAGTTATACACATCTATTATACTTAAAATGATTGCTCAAGAAGTTTAAAAATAAAATAACATTTTCGTAAACATGATATTTTGTGGATTTATAAAAAAGGCTCCTAATGTAAGCTCCACGCAAATGTTCTAGGAAATGGGTAAATCTAAATGAAAAAACTACAAATTGGTTAAACTCAGTATATGTTTACAAAAATACAATTTTGACAACTTATGCATTGTCGTGTACGTCTTGTAAATAGTCTATATATTCAAGTGGGACAAAAGTCAAATATATTTGCAACTTTTTCGGTCCCCGCACATTCTACATAAACCGAGAGTGACCACATTAGGAACACCACCCAAATATCGTTGTTGTTTTTTTTCCGCTGGTTCCGGCGCCGACCTATCTGTGGGCTAGCGAGGTTTTCCCCAACCAGGTATCTCCAACTAGCGGGGCACCGACGCAGCCAGGAAAAGCTCGAAGCTCCTTCCCGACCTCCCGACATAATGTGGTAGTGTAGTGCATGTAAGTGTAAGTA